GTGCTATACAACTAAACTGCTCAGTTACTTCAAGCCAACAGCTCAGGGACAGGATGTTTTTTTATTTATTTTGATTTTTATTAAATTAATTTTGTTGCATTTAACCATACATTTAAAGTTTACCATTGATATAAGGAACAAATTTCATGTTAAGTAAAATTTTTTTTTGGGAGGGGACCCACCCCCACCCCCATCGCGGGCCTTGTGTTTGACACACGTGCCATAAACCTTTGTTTGTTTATCCCCTCATTGTAGAATAAAAGATTTGTTTGATGTTTGTTAATTAAAATTAGGATCTACTATAGTTTTTATAGTTTGTTTCATTTAGCTTGATGTTTACTGTATTCTGGAGTTATTCTCGCTGTCATGTAGGGGAGACCGGGGACATTAGCAACAAGGGACGGTTGCAACACGTCATTTTTCTCCCAACAGAACCAAGCTAAAGTGATGACACTCACACTGTACATGCTCAGTTAGATGCCCCACCTTGCAAAGAAAAAGTAAGCAGTTTCAAAAACTGCTCCGGGATTTATTTTAAAAAAACTGTTTTTGAGGTACCAAAGTATTTTTTTTTTTGCCTTGCAATGTTTTTGTTACACTGTTGTCACTGTTTTTGTGATCCAGCTCAAACTTAAATGGTTAAAACAAGTGATATGTTGACTTTTAACTAATATGGTTAACGTGTATAAAGATCAGCTTATTTAGCTAACACATGAGGTTTTATCATGGCTGACAGGAAGGGGGACAGTTGCAARRYTTGCAACTGTCCCCGTATAAGAAATCCATATAAAAACAGAGCACATAAAGATGATAATTAAGATGTTAAAATTGAGTTTGCACTTAGAAGACTATCGGGTATTCATAACAATTTTATAGTTTAAAACATAAAAGTGCTTAAGATGCATTTTCTGCAGTTGTTGTTTTCAACAATGGTTTTAAAATCCCAGTTTCTTTCAATGTAAATTTAGCATAATGTAGACATACAGTGACGATAGGCAAAACAAAAGTTAATTGCCTGTTATTCTTGTTTCTAAAGGCCAACTGTATTTTAAATCAATTATAATATACCACCCCCAAACAATGTTGCAACTGTCCCCGGCACCGGGGTCAGTTGCAACATCTGACTTTTCATTTTCAAATGCAAAATGTTAAGAATGTACATTCTCTAATCATCTATAAATGGTTTTGACTACTAACAGAGAGTAAGTTTGTTGTATTAAAATTTGGTTTGTTTAATTCAAACCATCTCTGAGTAACAGAGTCAAATGCAAAAAAGTGTTGCAACTGTCCCCGGTCTCCCTTAATATTACAAAATGTCACATTCAGACCAGGGCTGGGCGATACTGGTTGATGACGTCTGATGTCTGTGTGTATTTAAATTGGACTGTTTTTATGTTCCAGCATGTGATTATCTCGGGGAGAGGATGGCCTCTCTCTTTGGGATAACATCCGCCAAGTATCAATACGCCATTGATGAATACTACAGGATAAAGAAAGAGGTACGACCAAAGACATTTTGTGATTTTTGTGTCCCCCCCCGCCCCCTCCCCCTCCCCAGCGAACATGATTTCCTCCTGTGTCCTGGTTTTAGAAAGAGGAAGAGAAGGAAGAGAACCGTCTGTCAGAAGAAGCCGAGCGCTCCTTCGGCCAGCTCCAATCTCAGGAACAGAAGGACGAGCCCGTCGCTGTGCGAGAGGGGCAGGAGGCGGAGCCTGCTCACCCCGACGTGACCTATCGGGTCGAGAACGAGAGTCGGGCCAATCCCAACACCATCGTCGTCCCCGTTTATGTGACAGCAACCTAACCCTCTCTGGGGAAGGACACGTTAACGTCTGTCTGCAAAAGAAGGAACGCCGTCTTACTGGACCGAGCTGCTTGGTTTGTGTAGAACTGCTTTCCATGGGCGGCGCTGCCATATGTTTGGCTAAATGTCGAGGACACTGAGGGGGGTGTAACTGTAGAAACTCAAAAACTAACTGCTGGATAACATGGCTGTACACAATTAAATACGAGTTAACAGGTATAGATAGAAAAGTTGAGACCATTTAAATGGTAATTGACACATTTTTGTCTTCCTGACGTTGAGTTTATTTCCATTTTTGCTCACATTTTGAAGTCACTCACCGTCAGCTGGGTTGTCAGTTTTTTTTACGGCACCATCCTCCAAACTTTGCTATGCAGCAGGGGGTCAACGTCGCTCCCCTGTGCCTCCGATGGACCAGCCACTGTGCCTCAATAACCAACACAGCCACGTCCGTGCCAGATGTAGACTCACGTTAAAAAAACAAAACAAAAAAAAAAACAGCTGTTCTGTCTAGATCTGGACACACTGCGTTCTCAAGATGGCCATTTCCCCACTCCCTCACATGTAGATTMGACATGCATGTCGTCTGTTAACGTGTGTATTGATGCATATTAGACTTGTGGTGCACTTAAACGTCCGTGGAAGCACAGAGCACATTTAGGTGCAGCTGTCAGAACCTTTTACTGGTCACACGACAGACTAACTTTTAGCTTAAAAAACAACAACAACAAAAGAAAAGAAAACGGGTTTAGGTGTTCTGTGTGGCTCTTTTTATCTGCCTTACTTACCGTGAACTTGAAAATCGTGAATGTGTTGTGTAAGAACGTGCAAACTAAACATTTCTTACAGTTTTTAAGCACAATTTTTGATATTTATTTTAATATACTTGAGTTGTTAATTTAAGCGTTTTGTATTGTTTTAGTAATATTTAAATAAACGGTTATGTTACTATCTAATTTTTTATATTGTTGACTTTGTGTTTTTTAATTTTTATTCAAAGGTAATTAAACAGTGCGTGTGTTTAAGTTGAAAACGCAGCTTTTACTTTCTAATACGGGTGTTGTCAGCTGTGCTGGCTCGTGTGCTTCATGACAGACTCGTAGTCCTGCTCCAGGGTGAGCCAAGCAAGGGGCCGCTTTGTGAGTGGGAACAAAGAGGCTGTGTCATGGTTTGAGCATGCTGCTCTGAGGTCAGGGGACACTATCCACTCACCGCACAATGCTTCCTTTCAGAGGCCGCCGTGGATTTCTCCGGGCCAAAATGGCGACCTCAGCGGACGTGATGACAKCACTGCTGCAGGGTGTGCTGCCTCCACTGGGCTCAGAAATTAAACTTAAAATAACCAATTCAGAAATTCTGAGATGATATAAACAAATATCGGTTTTATCAAAGTTATCGTGCTACTACAGACAAGCTAGTACATTTCAAGAGAATGTTACATTCTTTCCTTGTTTGGTCAAGTATTTGTACTGTTGAAGTAGTTCTGAAGTAGAAGTAGTTGAAGTAGACTGGTGCTGATCATATTTTTAAAGGGATCCATGATTAGTTGTAACATTCGACTTTATTTGATAAACATGTATTTATCTGTAAAATAAAGACTGTAAAAATAATGTAGGATGTTCAGTTTTTATCATTTTTAAACAAAGTTTAAAAATATATTACACGGATGGGGCAATTTTATTTACACGCAAAGCATTCTGGGTAAATGATGACATGGATAGGTCCTTGGTGCGAGGCTGCTAGCGAGCTATATCCACCCTGAATGTTAATCTTGGACAATATCTGATGATCGACTCTTTTAAATGAAACCAGAGAGCGTTGACAGAGAGGAGAAGGTAGAAATGACTCAGCCTGTAACTGAAAATATGGATGGAGGACKWCAGTTTAGCTTGTTTGTTGCGCTAGCACTGAGCTAATACATTAAGGTAATATAGCGGAGCTAGCGCAAAGGCTAAKAGGCTAAGCTGAGGTTCTTCTTCCATGAAGCAGTTCTGTTGTCCTCCATCTATATTTTCAGTTACAGGCTGAGTCATTTCTACCATCTCCTCTCTGTCAACGCTCTCTGGTTTCATTTAAAAGAGTCAATCATCAGATATTGTCCAAGATTAATCTTCAGGGTGGATATAGCTCGCTAGCAGCCTCACACCAATGACCTATCCACGTCATCATTTACCCAGAATGCTTTGTGTGTAAATAAAATGGCTCCGTCCGTGTTAAAATATATTTTTAAAAATTATAAAAATTAAACAGCCTACAGTATTTTTACAGTCTTTATTTTACAGTTAAAATATATGTTTATCAAATAACGTCTAATGTTACAACTAATCGTGGATCCCTTTAAAACCAGTTAAAAATGGCAAAAATGTGCATTCAGTGTCATTTTCTGTCAGGTATCCAGCATGTCATGACCTCCTGAAGGCGAAAAAGCTTTCTCTCTTTGAATGTGGTCGGATTGTCGAGCTGGATAATTAAGGCCTCTCGCAGCGTAACGTTGCAGKTGAGGTTGGACGCGGTGAGACAGTCATTTTTAACTTCTTAAAATATCCTGAGGGTCATGGAACAATAAAGTCCAGCGGTAGAACCCAAAGAAATTTCACCAGCCCCGAGCTGGAGGATCCAATTGGCTGTCCGTCAAAACACGGGACGATCCTCGGCTCAAATTATGCTCGTTACTGGTGCCAACTGTAGACCCATATCCAGTAGTGGAGAAAGTACTCAAACACTCTACTTAAGTAAAAGTACAAATAAACAGACAAAAATGTACTCTAGTAAAAGTACCACAAAACAAAAAGAACAAAACTCTTCAAAGACCTCGTCTCCCTCAGCGGAACAAAATCGGTTTGGAATTTTCACAAGAGCACCAAACGTGAAACATTGAATGGTGGAAAAAAGTTTTATTCCCTGATAAAAAAAAGAATTTACCTTGACGGTCCTGATGACTTCCAAACGTTACTTGACTGAGATGTTTTCTACACAGTGGAGGGAGCTCCATCATGATCTGAAAGGCTTTTTCCTTCAATGGAGCTTCAGCTTGTGCAGAGGCATGAAACAAACAACATGGCTATGTGAAGATGTTACAGGGGGTCTCCCCCATGACTGAAGACCATCGTCTTTGTGATAATGGCTGGGTTTATTYACAGGACAATGCTGCAGTTCCCAATGCCCGCCTGACAAAGGATCTCTTAACGTCACTCTTGGACCATCGTTCCCCTGATCTAAATCCACTTGAGAACATTTGGGTTTTGGATGGCAAGAGAAGTTTACAAAATTGGACACCAGTTCCAGCCAGTGGATGTCCCCCATGAAGCCATCTTCACCACTTGGAGCAACCTTCCCTCTGGCCTCTTGGAAACACTAGTCAAGCATGCCAAAACYAAATTGTCTTAATGGTCTTACAATTTTTTAATCAGGAATGTAAATAAAATCAGCATTTTAGTATTACGAACTGATCAAAAATGTTTTCAGATGGCATGACAGCAAAATATACCTAAACTTGTGTTTCTGGTCATTTATGCAAAAATGAAAATGACACATTGCATCAGCATGTCATGTAAAGTTTGTAAACTCAGAAGTGACAGAAAAGGCTGGTTTCTTGGAGAGTTTTGCTTCTGCAAGACATCATTATGGAAAAAAAAGACATCATTATGGAAAAAAAAGACATCATTATGGAGGTGCCAGGATGAGATGGCTCATCAGTTACTGTCATAAACTGAAGTCAGTCTATGACGCACAGAGCAGCCGTCCACGCTGACAGACAATACGACCCACTGACAGCCCAGGTTACGTCTGAGGCTGACGCAGGGTCATGGCACATAGCTGATAATCTGTCAACTGGATTACATGACTATAGACGGCCAGGAAGATTTTCTGAATGATGATTTCTCTCTGTAGTCTCAACAATAAGTTTTTTAAAGGGGCAATATTATGTGTTTCTCAGGCATACATTTAAATACTATACAAAAAATAAAGTATCTGTCACCTTTAGCTATTATTAAAATGCTGTTTTTGTGTTTAAATAGAAAATAAACTAATCTTCTAATCACTTCCTCTTCTAAACGCCTTGAAATTTGCCTCTGTCTCTTTAAGAACCGCCTTCTGCTTCTGTCTCGGGGGGGCGGGCACTTGGCATCTGAAAATACATTTCCTCAAATGTATTTTTAATCTGAAATGAGCTTCACTGAGTGAGAAGTAGTGGACCTCAGCAGACAGTTAGGTTTCACTTTCACTTTCACTCATTCTGCCGAGAGCCTGCAGGAGTCATGGGCGGGGTGTGTGGAGTGGGGAGGGGGGCGGCATTAAGAAGCCCCGGCTTAAAGACACGTCCCAGGGGTGTTTCTGGTACCAAAAGGCGTTTCTGGTCCCCACCTGTCGTTTTGCTCCTCAGCATGGCTTCCTAAAAACGCTGCAGGATTTCTCAAACATGCATGAATGAGTCAAAGCAAGTTATATCATGTTATAACATTATAACATAATATAAAACTCAAAAAAGTTGATTTTACATGATATTGCACCTTTAAGTTGTGAGCTTCAGGCTAATTTTTGAAAAATCTGCTGAAACAAACTCATTCGTTCTATAAACAGCACTGACTAATTTCTGTTAGAATATTGGATCTGGACACATTTGGAGTTTAGGCTTTTGGTTTCTGAGTAGTTTGCAACAATCTAATCTTTTGGTATTCTGACATTATCTTATCTCATTATCTCAAAATATTGGGCCTTTTTCCCCTCAAAATACTGAGAAATTTATCTCATTTCCTGGAAACAACGAAGCCTATTTTCTCCAGATAATGAGATAAATTATATTTTTGACCTGTAAAGAAGCTTATTTTCTTGTGAAAACAAGAAATTGTTTTTTTTATCAATTAAATAAGGAGCCTTCATTAAAAATCAGGACAGTCAGGCTGGAAACTGATTCCAGCTTAAAGCATCACGTCATGTGTCAGCCATTTGTGAGCAACACACTGATACAAGTCACCTCCAAGTGTCATGACAGCAACACTAAATGACGAAACTGGGCGTAAAACAAGAATCCCTAATTTTTGCACAATCTTTTTCCAAAAGGAATGTGGTCTTGTAATCCTGAGAGTGCGGTTTTAAATCTCATAATTGCCATCTTGTATTAACCAGCTACCAAAGCTTTCATGTGACTTTGATTGCTGCAAAAGAGAGACGATCAAACAACAYTTTATTTATTTATGTTGTTGTTTTTAAAAGATAAAACTAGATGGTTTAAAAGTCAGGCTGAGACAAGACTGAGACAGAGGCAGGAGTTTGGAATCAGTCCACCAGAGGGTAGTCTTGTGTTTATAAAGAAAAAGTAAATAGATRGGTTACACATCCCAGTTTAATCAGTCTACCTATCTCTGGAAGTCACTGTGGGAGATGCAGGGTCCACCCTGGCCWGGTTATAAATCTGATGTGTGATATGTTTAAACTTTGTGTAAATGACCTGCATGCTTTTTGCATGGAAGTGATCTTCACAGAAGATAATCCAAATCCATGTGGTTCTGTCTGTCCAAAGACACAATCGTGTCCAGCCTCTTCAGCTCGTGCTTCAGCAACAAAGAAACAAAACAGACCCTCTCAACAATCTCAGTCCGGGAACCATGAGCCACCCTGCAGTCGTCAGACAATCTGTGAATAACAGGGAAAATCCAGAGTTTGAGGTTTGAACATTCCTCGTGATTTACTGTCTACCGCTGCAGAGAAGGACGTTGGCTCAAGCACCAATAGAAGGGAGGAAACTGAGCTGCAAGTGTGTCAGCGTGTGTCCTAAAAGGGTCAGTCCTAAGTTCCCACTAAAACCCCCCCTCACGTGGGTCCACGTGTCARGCTCGACCTGTCTGCTGCTTGAAACCAACCTGACATTTTTCTAAGGGTGGGGGGTTGGTTTGTGTGTGGGCAACTTAAACGTTTCGCTTCTGATTCAGTCTGCAGGGGTCCAACCCCAAGTTCTAAAAATG